ACCTTAGTGGGCGTAGGCCACTCAAGAATAGCCTTGACTTTTCTTTTTGGCAACTTGTCCGTGCCCAATACGATGTCTCAAAAATGTAATCTTTGTATGAGTGAAGCTATATTTTTCCTATTTCAAATACAATTCATGCTCATGGAGCTTAGCCAGGACTAATCTTAAATGTTCCACATGCTCTTAAAGGGTTTGGCTGTATACCACGATGTCATCGAGGTAAACAACAACAAAAGGTTCAATGTAGAGCGAAAAAGAAAATTCATCAAATTACAAAAAAAGTGATAGAAGCATTGGTCAGGCCAAAGGGTATAACGCTATACTTAAATGCACCCTATCGAGTAACATAGTAGTCTTTGGCTCATCTCTAGCTGCTATTCTGACTTGACAGTACCCGGAGCGTAAGTCCAACTTGGTGAAATAAGTGGCCTTACCCAAGCGATCGAACAAGTCAGCCACCAGCGGAATTGGGTATGTATTCCTTTAATAGCTTTCAAAGTTCTTTTAGTTTGACGGGAGCCATTCTGTAAGGTCCTTTAGTGGGGGGCCGTGCACCTGAAACCAACTCAATTTGGTGATCAATAGCCTTCGGGGAGGAAGAGCTCTCAGTAGTTGCGGTGGCATGACATTTGAGAACTCAGTCCATAAATTCAAATTTTTATTGCTTTCGGAACCGGTCCTTTCTTTGAGGAATTTCGCCCGAGCTACTTTGATTTAGTGGTTCCTTCCCCTAGGGGATAGGGGAATAACTGGATTATGATGAGGTTCACGATGTATCGCTTCCAAATAGCAAGGGAAGATCTGATTTAGGTCTTCTTATTCCACCATTAGCCGAATCCGAATCAGAGTCTGAATCTGAAGCTGACCTTTTCTTATGCACTTTTCTGATCCTTCTAATCTAGCAGCCGTAGACTAGGAGCCTAGAGAAATGAAAGAAGAACCAGGAAAGAAGGATCAGTCTATCCGGGATTGAATGGCAGAGGAGTTGGCTTAATGGTAAGGGCGATCTTTCCGGCATTGAATCCGTGAATGGACGTTGAATGGCATAAGAGTGAGGTTCAATCAAATCGGGAAGACAAGCTTACCTCAATGACAAAGAACTCACACCCATGGGTGAGACTTTCTAAAATGCTGGATTCGGAAAGTTTCTGAATTCTTGATGCTAGGCAAGTTGAATCATTATTCTCGATCAGATCAAAGGGAAACGAAATGGATTTTTATATGATGAAGTCATATGTCGTAGAATATGATGCAATTATAGAAGACCTTAGAATAGTCGGAAGGAATATTCCCCATCTTGACGGAGAAAAGAGAGAGCGAACACTGACTTCAAAACCTTCGTCTTAGCTAGAGGAGAAGACCCCGCAGATGATAGAAGCTAGAGTCTAGAGGGAGTGTCTAATAGGGACATAGCATTGGGATATCTGGAGTTGGCTTGAAGGCGTGACACTTTTTCGTTTTTTGATTTATTTGGCAGGGTTATCGTGGTTCCTTTGACTTTGGTTTCGGGATTAACGAGACCCTTATTTACTCAAACTCAGATTGGTAGGCAATCAACAGTCATAACAACGATATTCCCCACTGACTGCCTCAATCATATAGTACGCAAGTTTTTCTCCCGGAAAGAACTCATTTTCTAATAGAATTGATTGTGCAATAAGATATGTTGCTTCTTCTTCTCTTGAGAGTTCCCTCGGGCAAAGAGCAATCAATCCTTGTACCCATATAAAAACTCAATCTTCAGGGAAAGTCCATTTTTATTATTGGCAAAGATAATCAATAAGACAATAGGGATAATGGAATGCCTATCTAAGGGGTTACCGAGAGGATAAGAAAAGACTTAATAATAGATAGATACGTACACTAGAAAGAAAGAAAGCCCTAGGTGAAGAGAAAAGTGCCTATGTCCCATCCCATTGGGTAGGGAATCAAGAGGCAGGATCAAACTCTTCTTTTATGTTTGGTAGCTAGATATACACAGAAGAAGAACTATAACCTGTGTATTTATGAATTCAAAAGATGTGTTTTGTCCTTTGATATTGACACCGATTATGATAAAACTATAAATGTAATGACTCTGTAATGATATAATGTTGAAGTTCTTGGTGCTAATGAAGTCCTTAGGACAGATCCCCCACACTACTACTTATGGATTCCCTTTAAGTGTCTGTTTTCCATGATACAATGATTGGATATACATTGAAAAAGTATTACAATCTGTGTATCTACGAATCCAAAATATGTTTTTCGTTCTCTGATATGTATACCGATTATGATGAAACTACTTTGTAATGACAAATGTTGAAGTTCTTGGTGCTAATGAAGTCTGTGCATACTTGTACATAGATGAACAAACATGAAATTCAAATTTCGGATTGGTAGAAATTTTAAATCCGAATTGGTGTGGTGGAGCGTGTGTGGTTGACTTCAAGTCCATCTAGGTTCTCTTGTCTACAAAAGTGGGGTGCCTCGTGGGGGCCCAACTGTTAAAACAAACTTG